TTTCTTTCTTTCTTTCTTTCTTTCTTTCTTTCTTTCTTTCTTTCTTTCTTTCTTTCTTTCTTTCTTTCTTTCTTTTTTTTTTTGGCTGGGCAATGGGGTTAAGTGACTTGCCCAGGGTCACACAGCTAGGAAGCATTATGTGTCTGAGGCCAGATTTAAACTCAGGTCCTCCTGAATCCAGGGCCTGTGCTCTATCCACTGTGCAACCCAGCTGCCCCTGTCCATTTTAATTTTCAAGAAGTATGTTATTTAGGTAAGGCTTTATATCACTTATTCCAAGCTATTAATTATCTTCCCCAGTCTTTCCACCACAACTTTCATTTCTTTTCAATTCTTTTCTTTATTGCTTTCATTTCCTTTATAATAATACTTATGCCACCCTTTAATTCTCTTTTTTCTTCCAGTTGTTCAGATATTCTGTTGTCTTTTGCTATTCCCTTAAAAAAAACTCCTGCATTATTTGTTCTAATAATTTTAAATGGTCTTGTGTGCAAGACAGGTTTTTTCTTTAAAAATTTGCATGTAGGTATTTTGGAGTTAGCTTCTTCTGCTGGGTGTGTATCTGGTTCATCCTTGGCTTCATAATAGCTCTTTATCTATTTTTGTTTGTTTTACTATTCATTCTTCTAGCAGTCTGCTCTGAGCAACCTGGTCTATATGGAAGGTTTTGGGGATCTGAATTGGTGATCTCAACCTTTCTGGAAGAACTACCTATACTGTTTACCTGGGGAGAGGATTAAATCCAGGACCTGCTGTGGGTGGCTCCAAACTGGGGATGGATAGGGCTGTCCAGGTATTAAGCTACTCATCTGGGATATAGATTTGAGGTCCCTGTGCCACAGATGTAGTTCAGCATTCTAGGTACTGAGTCCAGAATACTGACCTCTTTTGGAAAACCTTGGTTTGGGTCTGAGGCTGAATCTGTGATCAACTTTGAGTGTCCCTCCTCTGATGGCCTACTTTGGAGTTCTGGGTGCTGAGTCTGCTAAATCTATATTGCTGTCTGAGCTGCTAGACTGAGCAGAGTTTTTGATCTGCTCTAGGCTGGCTTAATTCAGAACTCTTGGTACTGAGCATGGGATCCTGGTCCCTCTAGGAAATCCTTTATTATTGACTTGGGCCTGAGGCTGTGTTTATTTCCAGATGTCCCTGAGCATCTGGCCTAGATCAGAGCTCAAGGCAGTAAATCCATGATCTGGCCCATTTATCTTCCATACTTCCAAAGTTCCTGCCCTCATTATTTGCCTAAATTTTTAATCTTGGGCTGGAAAAATGATTGACTGTGGTTTCCCCTTTGATTTTGCATCCACTACTCATGTTGACATTCTTAAATTATTTTTGGAATAGTTTCCATGGAAGCTAGGCTGTATAGTTTCTTCCTTATCTATCATCTTATTTGCATCCGAGAGACATTAAAAGAAATTATTGGCAAAATACTTGAGAAAAATAAGAAATTGAGTTTTTGTGTCCAATTTTTTAAAAATGTTGCTCTTATACAAATGATGCAATGTGATGGATACTGTTCAGATAAAGAGGCAGTCTTTTTCATTGACAGATTAGTCTAAATATCAATGACAACTAGATTTCAAGGGCCTGTTGCTCAAGTCCATTTGCACAACACTCTCCTTTGGCTAAAGAGTGGCTACTTGAGGAGTTAGCTCTAGCTTCTGTCAGAAGGAAGAATATGAAATTTTACCACAGTACTTGCTAAAAGTGGGACTCTAGGAAGTAAAAGGGCTCTGTCATTCAAATCTCTGCCTAAAAAGGAGAATTCCAAATGGAAAGAGTTATCTCCTCATTCATAGGTAGTGTATCTCTCCTATGTTTGTGTGATTCTGTGTATGTATTTCCTTTCAAGTGGTATACAATAATTATTGATACACTTTATATAATTTGCATAAGGCCAGTGAGGTTTTGTTTTTTTAATTTATTTAATTAATTTATTTTGTTAATTGATTCTTTTATTTTTTTTAAATATCTGACACAAGAGTTGGTTTACTTGTATATGTTTTATATTTGTCAGTAGTTTCATTCAATAATAATTCCTTAACTGTCTCCATTTTTTGTTTGTGACTTTTTAAATCTTTCTCTAGCCTTTGAATCCATTATATACATTTTCATAAATATCCAGAAACTAACTAGGGTATATGAACTCAAAAGGCAAAACTATATTGACCTCTAATTATCTAGTACTAACCTCAGTTATTGATTTTTAAAATTATTATTTTGGAACAATTTCATTTTACCATTTTATATGTTTCATCATAATAACTTTCAATTCAATGCAACAAATATTTATTAAGTATCTAGTCTATGCCAGGGATAAAGAAATAATCTCTTGCTCAATGAACTTGAATTCTACTGGAGATGATATAACATAAACATAGTTGAGTAAATTCAAAGTAATTTGAGAAGGCAGATATATGACTAAGAGAATTAGGAAAGAATTCATGTAGGAGGTTTCAGTTGAAGTGAGCCTTGAAGGAAACTAAGAGTTCCAATATGTTCAGGAGAAGAGACAGTACATTCTGAGTGTGAGGGATATACTGAATAAAGACAAAGAGGAGATGAAATACCAGTTCTGGGAATTTAGTAATAGAAATAGTAGGGGGTGTTGTTTTTGTTTTCTTCTGGAAGTCACAGTGTATGAAGGGAGGATGATATGAAGAAAGTACAGAAGAATTAGGTTGGGGGCAGATTACAATTTTTATTTTATTCTCTAGGCAACAGAGAGCCAACTCATTATGTTTGAGCAGTAGAATGACTTGATCAGACCTGTGTCATAGGAAGATTATTTTGAAAATTGGGTGTAGGATAGATTGGAGAAGGGAAAGACTTCAAATAAATAGAACAATTTTGGGAGCTATTACAATAGTCCAGGCAAGCAGAGAAGGAGGTCTACGCTAGGGTATTAGCCATGTGAGTGAAGAAAATGAGACATGTGAGAAATATCAGGGACATAGGCTCCGCATGGCTTTCAGTGTAGCATATCAAAATTGTCCTCAGTTCAAGGCCTAAGGATATATATTTTACTGTCCTTTTTTTTCTTTTGCAGTTGTCAGTGAAGATCTACACTCCAGTCTATATTTTGTCAATGCATCTTTGCAAGAGGTAGTGTTTGCAAGCACCACAGGGACATTGGTTCCCTGTCCTGCAGCAGGGATCCCACCTGTGACACTCAGATGGTACCTAGCAACGGGCGAGGAGATCTATGATGTTCCAGGGATCCGCCACGTCCACCTCAATGGCACTCTCCAAATTTTCCCCTTCCCCCCTTCAAGCTTTAGTACCTTAATCCATGATAACACTTACTATTGCACAGCTGAAAATCCTTCAGGGAAAATCAGAAGCCAGGATGTCCACATTAAGGCTGGTAAGTACAATCATTCATATTTTCTTCTATTCTGTAATCTATTTTTTAATGTATGATTAGGTAGTTTAGAGGCAAGTTAAAAACTGGTCACTGTTGAGTATCTGAGAGCCATTCAATATAGGATTTATCATTTTAGTAGATTTTGTGAGTTTTTAAAAAATTCAGAGTACTAATTAGTTAAGATACTAGGAACTGAAACTGAACCAGCAAATCTAAAGTGAAACAAAAACATTAAATCTAATGAATTGCTAAATGAATAAAAATGTATTTTTAACTGAATTTTAAACCAAAAAATTTGTCCTTGTCTCCTTAAAACAAACCAAAAAAACCAACAGAAAAAAGCTAAAAAAAAAAATATCCTAAACATCACTAGAGAGCTAGTTAAAGATACATAGGTAATAGATAAATAAGCATACATACATACATACTTTATGGATCTATAGTTTCATATTGTAGATTACTCCTTTCATCAATTTAGATAGTGAACTCTCTATTCCTTAGTAGTTGTGGTTAAAGAAAAATTATCACCCACTACCTGAACTAGTATTGAGGCTCTCCATTTATCTACTAGCCTTTGGGCAAAAGACATGCTGTCTATCACTGACTATGTTCAAACTCTTTCCAGCTTGGTAGGATCTGTAGTTTGCACTGTGCTGGGAGAGCCTTTAAGAACCTAAAATTTTCTTCACAGCAGGATAAGTCATCAGAGTGGAACTTTCTAGGTGATTATAGACTGATATAAAATGCGCAAATATGTATACTAATACACATACACATATACATATATATGCATATCTTATAAATTCAAATGGGAAAACAAGTATAGTGAATGATGAATAGTCAAATGGATGTGTGAGCTCATTACTATGGGTATTTCTTTTCAGTAATGACGACTGCTACCCATTCATGACTGCCCATATTTTATGCCTGTCATCTATGCCTTCCCATAAATTTGCCTTAGAGAGTCTAGCCAAAACATTGTGTATTCCTTACTTTCTCTTGACCTTGGGAGAATACCAATAGAGCACAGGATCTGTCAATCTTTTTTTTTTTTTTTCACTTTATGCCTCTCATTTTACTGGTTATATATAGAGGATTCCTGGCTCCAAAATTCCCTCCACTAATGCAGATCAACAACTCATGTTACTTAGAGTCTTGTAGAGTTTGCATAGGACACTGAGAAATTAAATGACTTTTCTATGGTTACATAACTAGTATATGTCAGAGGTAAGACTTTCCTGCAGCATCCTTATTCTAAGGCAAGTCCCTTATCTACTACACCATGTTATTTCTGAACCATCAAATAAATAAGTGAACTGTCTCATTTGGACAGTGAACTGTCCTATAACACAATAAAGATGATATTAATGGTTTTTTGTTTCCTTTAAAAGGCTATTACAAGATAGTGATAGAATTAATTTCTGTTGCAATTTTGTCAGCAGTAGTTGAATAAATTGTAACATGTGCATAAAATATGGAATGCTCCTGATTTACTATTTGTGGTTCTTTTGTTTCAAGGAGACAAAACTAAGACTATGACTGATTCTGCTAGCTGGTCATTTCTACTACCTCATTTTGATCTCTGTAATCTTGGAAATGATTTTTCAGACTTTTAGAGAAATATCTTCAAGAGAACTGAAAAAGGACTGTGACTAAAAGTAGCAACATAAAAATGGCATTACCTAAGGATTAAACTCTTAAATGATTTGTTTTAAATTTGCTATTCAAATTAGAGTACAAGTACACTACAGTGTATTTTAAAACAATCTGCATCTTCTAAAAAAAGCAAAATGATATTTGAGTAAGATTAAAATATTATTAGAACATGTACTCCTGTAGCAACTTCCTCTTTAACTTGCATAATTCATTTTAATCTTTGAATCTCTGGCTTGGATTTCTAGTTGGAAAAGGAAATTAAGAAATTAAGGTTTTTTATTTTTGACACATACAGGACATCAACAGTTTTTAATATATTGGAGAGCTCAACAGAAGGAATTGGGAGACATGGTGTTAGGTGTTAGGGGCAGGCCTAGAACCAGAATTCTGTTAGTTCAGGTTTAATATTAGAACAAAATGAGAAAATCACAAATTATTGAACAGTTAACAAAGAGGTTTATTTTGTTTTAACAGAATAAACACATGCTATACAATACAAATGGCATTTAGGTTCTCTAGATGAAGCCACAATTATCTCCATATTGAAGTGCATCTGATTAGCAGGATACATGGTATACTTAAATATTAAAATTTTAATTTTAATTAAATTAAAATTTATAAAAATCTTTGCATGTAATTATCACTTCCTCACCTATCTAATATATGGAAACATTTTTCTTAAATCTCTCCAAGCATACTAAAAAAAGTTTTATTGATTTTTTTTGTCTAATGCAGGTTGTATGTAGATTTATTCTGTGGCTTTACAAATCAGATTTTTGGTCAAAAACACAATTTGTATTCCTAAATGATGAGGCCAGCAGACCAAAAAGCACCAATGTATCTATGCTTATCACAGGGGAGCTTCTCTTACATCTGTAAATAAACTCCCTGGTGTGGAAGACTCCACCAACTTGTGAGGTCAACCACCAAGTGAAATGGATTCCACAGACACACAGGTGGGACTTTTTATACCCTAAATTAAATATGAAGCTATGTCAAATGAAACAATGGCCAATCAGTTCCCAAGGACGCTTTGTTGCTTTTTAGGGAAAACTAATCCCTTTTGCAGAGAAAGAAGGGAACCCTGGTTCTATTACATACCACTACCATAATGGCAAGATCCTAAAGATATTCTAGAGGACCTGCCACCATTTAAATACTTGTGGTGCTTTTGTTGGACAATCCTTCTGGGATAGGCAGTACCAAGGGGAAAAGAAGAAAAATAATTACATTTCTCCTTCCCTGCAAGAGTCACCATTAAAAATAAAGAGATATACGGGAAACAAAAGCCAGAAATCCTAGATTTTTCCTCTTCCTTTTGGGAGGAGCATGTCTCAGATCTTATTAATCTGATAATTGTGATAGATGATACCACACACTTCTTTGTAGTTCAGTGGGTCTCTTAATTTAAAGTGGTAACAATAAGCCACTGAGTAGAAATAGTACCAGGGAAATCAGGGCCATAGCAGAGAATATGATATGTCTAGAAAATCAACACATCATCTTTCATTAGAGTTATTTATAGTAAATATGTATCTGTAGCAAAATGTCTAAGAAGTCATAAGCCTCTTACATGCAATCTGTCTTGGAATCTAAGTTAATACTGTTATTTATTCAGTATCCCTTGGCTCACGCTAGGTTTTTTAGCTGTTTTCTGCAATGTTGTCAGAATCCTTCAATGAGTACAAAAATGGCATCAAGGTCAACTACTGCACCGATGGTAAATTATTTAACTTGAAAAGGCTACAAGCCAAGATTAAAGTGGAAGGAGAGTTCGTGTGTCACTTTTTGTTCACATATGACTGTGTGCAGTGAGTGCAGCCTCTGAGGCCGAGATACAACAAAGTAGGGATTGATTCTCTGCTGCTTATGCTAATTTTGGACAATCAACACCATGAAAACACTTGTTTTCTACTAGCCAGCATTACGACATTCCTACATGGAGCCATCCATTACAGCAAATGGAGAAATTTAGAGTTCTGTGGATAAGTTTACTTACCTTGGCAGTATACTTTTCAGGGATGTACACATAGATGATGAGGTTGATGCATGCATTGCCAGAGCTATCTCAGTGTTTGGGAGGGTCTGAAGGAAAGTGTGGGAGAGAAGAGGTATTAGGCTGCCTATCAAACTGAAGATCTACAGAACCGTTGTGCCGACCTCATTGTTGTATGTCCTGGACAGTATACCAGCACCATGCCAGAAAACTGAATCACTTCCATTTGAATTGTCTAAGGAAGGTTCTGATGATCACCTGGTAAGATAAGGTACTGGATACTGAAGTCCTTTCTTAAGCTGAACTGCCATGCATTCAAACTCTACTGAAAGAGTACAACACCAGTGGCCATGTTGTTTGAATGCCAAAAATATATTTGCTGAAAAGATTATTTTACAGAGAACTCACACAAGACAAGTGCTCACATGGAGATCAGAAGAAGTGATGCAAGGATACTTTGAAGGTCTCTCTGAAGAACTTTGGAATTGATTGTAAGACATTGGAGACACTGGCACAGAACTGTTCAGCATGGCATGCCCTCATCAAAGAAGACACTATACTCTATGAGAAAAGCAGAATTGTAGTAGCTCAAAAGAAATGTGAGATGCTTAAAGACATCTCTACTCCAAATGTTCACATGGACTGTTTGTGCCCAACCTGTGGTAGAGCTTTCTGAGCTCATATTGGTCTGATCAGCCACAGTTGTATCCATGGTACCTTGACCCTAACATAGTACTGTCATTTTGGTCCTCTGAGAAGGAAGGACAATGACCATTCCCTAGCTCACCCACCAAGCCTCCCCCAGGGTCCTGAAAGTCACATCAGAGGACTTATATAACATCTTTGTCCCTTAGAAATTGCATAGAGGGATTTCTCTCTTCTTCCCTAGGGGTGAAATAAGATTCCTCTCTTATCTCCCATTCAAGGACTCAGAATTATCACCAAGTCAAGTAGGAAATCCCATTTCTTCCAAATAAATACTCTTCTACCGTAGTTATATCAGCTAAAGTTTTACTTCCTATATGGTACTATAAATCAAGGTACCTCCCCAAAGTTTCCTAGCTCTTCCTTGGGAAGAGTTATCTGAACTCATCTCAGAGGAAGGGGAACCTGACAATAGAGGGGAAAGAGCAATTTCTCCAAGGTGTATAGAATTCTCTGAAGGAATAGGGACCTTAAGGCCTTGGTAACTGCACTGGGGAAGGAATAAGGAAAGACCAGAGAAGGTCAGCTGGAACTACATCCAAAAAAACAGTTCATGCTTGTCAAGTAAGTCTTTTTGGTGACTGAATGCTATATGCTGTCAGACATCTATTTCTTTCTTCTTAATGTGACATTGATTTATCAT